TTATTTGTGTTAAGTAAATACCACTAAGCATTTCTGTTTGTTCTTGATGTTATTATCTACCAGGAGCATGTAAACAAGAAACCTGTTTATGATGCTTCCTCTCAATACCTCAGAAGTTGACGTCTCCACATTCCTGTTGATTGGGGTCCCAGGCCTTGAGCATGTGCACTTTTGGATCTCCATCCCTGTCTGCCTCATGTATCTCCTGGCCATCCTGGGCAACTGCACCATCTTATTTGTCATCGGGACAGAGCCTTCCCTGCAGGAGCCCATGTACTATTTCCTTTCCATGCTGGCCACCTCTGACCTGGGTCTGTCTTTCTCCTCTCTTCCCACTATGCTGAGGATCTTCTTGTTCAATGCCATGGGGATTTCTGCTGATGCCTGCTTTGCCCAGGAATTTTTTATCCACGGATTCACAGACATGGAGTCCTCGGTGCTCCTCATCATGTCCTTTGATCGCTTTGTAGCCATTCGCAACCCTCTGAGATATAGCTCTATTCTTACCAGCTCCAGAGTTTTGCAAATTGGGCTTGCATTTGCTGTTAAGAGCATTCTGCTAGTTCTTCCCCTTCCTTTCACTTTAAAGAGACTCAGGTACTGTAATAAACGGCTGTTATCACACTCCTACTGCCTCCACCAAGATGTCATGAAACTGGCCTGCTCTGACAACAGGGTTAACTTTTACTATGGTCTATTTGTCGCACTTTGCGTGATGTCAGGCAGTGTGTTCATTGCTGTTTCCTATGTGTTCATCCTGAAGACTGTTTTGGGTATTGCATCCCATGGGGAGCGGCTTAAAGCTCTTAACACCTGTGTGTCCCACATCTGTGCTGTGCTCATCTTTTACGTGCCCATCATTATCTTGGCTACTATGCATCGCTTTGCCAAACATAAATCCCCTTTGGCTATGATTCTCATAGCTGATGCATTCTTGCTGGTACCACCCTTGATGAATCCCATTGTGTACTGTGTAAAAACTCGGCAGATTAGAGTGAAGGTCCTGGAAAAACTAGGTCTGAAGTCTAGATGATGGGGCAAAGGTGAGCGTTCCATTTTTCTCTATAGCACATTATCTTAGGAGGACACTATTTCTTCCCAATAAGAGGTGTTCCCATTGACTTCATAGTTCTTAAGTTATATTAATTAAGTAATTAATCAATCAATCCCTGTTTTTAAGGAAGAAGAGGGCCGCATTTCATAAAGTAGGTAGAAGCTCTCTTGTTGATGTTTGGAAGATTGGTGACGTCTATCGTCAGGTATAAGAAGGAAGGGTGAGAATCTAAAGAAGTTTCTAAGGGAGGAGCTAGGAAGAGTGGCCCCGAACTGTGATACGGAGAAGTCTGCAAGGTTCTGGAGCCATTTAGCATCTTTATATTTGCCTCCCTTATTTGATTCCTCATTGGGATTTAGAGTAAATCCTTTGTAATGTATCTAACTTTGTCCAAGTATGTTTTCTTTCTTGTTACTCAAAGTGTAGCATATTGATCACCAGGAAAGTAATTATGTTGCAGAAGCTCATGCCTTGCCGGCCTGTTCAGTCAGAATGCACATTTTAACAAGATCCCGGGTGACTGGTGTGTACATTAATGTTTGAAAAATACTGTCCTGGGGCAATGTGAAAGGGAAACCTAGTGAGTGTGTTTTTTGCTGAAGTCAATGTTGGAGGAAAATGTAGCAAGACATTATAGGTAGGCATTGTCATTTGTCAGCATTTTAAATAAAGAGAGGTACTAGGTCCTTGATATACATGTCTCTCTCGTTGTCTATATTGTGAAATTCCACAAGGAAAGGGCTGAGAATTATTCAGCTTTAGGAGTCTCCTCGCAATAAAGTAACTTGTCCAGAGTTTGTGCTTGGTAGATGTATATCAACTTGAACTAAAAGAATCATCTAAAGAAAAGGGTATCACATTTGGTAAAATGGCTGGCATAATGGAGTATACTAAATATTAGAGAACAAATGAAATAATAATTCTCGAAGTTTCCGTGAAAAGAGAAAACTTGAAAACTAGTTCCTCAGCTTTTGCTGGGTGGGGAGATTCAGGGGTGAATCAGGGCAGTCATGATCTACTCTCTGTACCTCTTGCCAAGAATTTAATATTGACAGGGAACTTAAGGGGCCCTTGTGAAGGACAGGGTTACTTCCCTCTGATTTTAGGGTAGCCCATAATACCATTAAGTAATATTGTCAAGCTGCAACACAGAATCTGCACCGCTGTGGCCAGACACACATCCAAACAACTTTAATACCTGAGGCCCCGCCTGTCACCTCTTGGCATTGTAAATGGAGCCAGACTAAAGCATTCCAAGGACCTCCTAATTAGAAAGGGTCAGTACAGAAACTGTAGGAGTCACTAGGACTATGCCATCATTATTTAAGGGATCAGAGTTCAGGATTACTGTTAACACTAACATATAAGGTAGCTCCAGTCTGAGGATTTAGAGTCAACCCATAGAAGAAAGAGTAAAAAGGTCCCATCAGGGATTACATGTTCTATAAACTATCTACTGTGATAGCTTAGTCTTGCCTGCCAGAGAGGAGACACGATGAGCAGAAAAGCTAGGGACTCGGACAAAAAACAATTCCTCTGGTCTCAGCTCTGCCATTTCCTGGCTGTGTGGTCTTGAAAAAATTACTTTCTATATATTGTGTATTATGATGTATTTCATATGTACTTAGAAATTTAAAAAAATCCTTCTGCATTGTATGGATTAATAAATTAATGTTTTTAAAAGCTATAAGATCTAAATGTGGTCTTCAGATGGGTTTGTCTGGACAAAATAGTGTTTAGATGATTTCATATAAAAATATAGATTTACAAGTTATTTTAAAGGTGGAAAGATAT